TAGAAGAAGATGCGGTAGCCGATCATATGTTACCTTTTATCGAAACATATTATTATAATTGTTGTATACTTATTGTCTTTAGTTTATATATTAGGAAAATCTGTTTTAACCGTTACTACGTGATTGGACTTGTTTTACGTAAAATCATACAGTGTTTATAAATTTAAACTACTCTTTATCTGATCACATTTGATAAAACGAAAAAAGAGAAGCGTTTATTTATTTTACTTACTTAATCTGATTTATATAAAAGAAATATCTGTTTAAAAACCGTTACATTTCCGATTAGAATTTTTCTAGATCAAAATCATACAATTCTGTGTACATATATATATAGAATACTAGTTATCTAAACAGGCAGTATTTAAAAACGTTAAGTTTTACATGCTCATTCTGTTAATATACTAAAATATATAGGTTGAGAAACCTGTTGTGAAAATGCTTCAATTTATATTTTTCATGTTAACAACCTTCATATCATTGAACTTAGTTTGCATAAAATTTTTCATATAGTATACAGAAAGTTTAATAACTTATGAATAATATCAGACGCAATGGAACAGCCTTTTCGAGGGCTCTAGAGATATTCAGTACAAGTTAAAACAGTCGCACTAGATAAATTTATAAAAGTCCATTTTCATTTGAACCTAAAATATTATTTTTCATTAGTGTGATATATTTACATAATATATATATATATATAGAACTTGAATGTTTTGTGCATAAATTAACTTAATAACGAAAACAGTTCTTTTGAAGACTATGCAGATTAATTTGTTGTTCAAACTAACCTAGGTAAAAGCTGAACTGTAAAACGAAATATGTACGAAACATAACACATTAGGAGAGTCAGTAGATTACTGTAAAACTACCCAATTAGAGCAGGCATTCGCATATTAGCTACGTGTCTCAAAGTGTTATTAATATAATGTAAAACTGCTTTCAGGCCAGTGATACGATCGCTTGGACACTTGAACAAAAAATACCAACACCAAAAACACAAGCAGACTAATGCTATCTGTTAATTCTAGCTGACCGTAACCTGTTCAGAGGTTGATTCAGATGTTCCCAGTTAAAAATAGGCAAGACGAAAGTGTATACTGACCTGTATAAAAGATGTAAGGAGCATTCCACTCAGAGGAAGATGCTAACAGCAATGGAATGATCTTCGTTTTACAGCCTGTCATTACAGACGTTAACGTCATAATGAGCTTCGTTTTGACCCAGTCGCGAAATGTGATGCACAATCTTTATTATAATATTTTTTGCAGTGTTTCTATGGTCAACTGTATACACGTAATAACATTTCAGTATCCATGTATTCAATAATAAATATAAAAATGGACAAAACGTCTAAATGTTATTTGACAGCTAGTCGTGGGTTATGAACAATATGAAGCATGTTAAGTACTGTAATTCATTTTAAAATGGCAAATCAAATAATATTTGGGATAAATATTTAGGACATAGCCTAATGACTAATCACTTGCATTTCAGATTACATAATTTACATATCGATGAACGTAATGTGTTACTGCTAGTATTTCATAACAATAGCTTTTGCCTTGTCATAGTTATTAATAGAAGCTACAATTATCTTTAACTTATTTTTTCAGAATATTTTTGCATTTATCTGATTTATAATGCTTTATAAGTCAACATAAATAGTTTTAAGTAATTTTTATGTGAATTACTGAATTTCACCATCTTTAAATGATTATTAAATTTCATAAGAATCAAAGTTATAGCTAATCGTTATGCGTTTGTTAAGCGAACTTCGCTTAATATAAATTTTATATCAGCGTTTAAAATATTTACGATGAAAAAAACGATAACTAACTTACCAGCCTGTGCATTTAATTGCAATATATATATATAAGAGCTGTAAAATTATGTTGCGTTATTGACTTTCTATTTACTTATTCTTTTCTCTATAAAATTATAATTTCAACAGCTTAAATTACCGCATTATCATACGTTGACTTCCATAGCATTTGAGCATGAGAACTGAATACTTGTATGAAAGTGATTTGCATAGCAGGAAATATGCAAGTCTTTAACTACTTGTACTAAGTATTGTACTTTAAGGTACATTATAAAATCGATATACAAAATCAAAGCTGTTTTAAGTGCTTTGTATATCGATGAGTGAACTCTTGGAAATGTTTCCACTTGAATGAGCCTGGCATGATTTAGTGGTTAGGGTGCTTGCCTCGCAATCCGTGGGATCGAAACCAATACTTGAACATCCTTCGCCCTTTCAACTGTAGGGGTGTTATAATGCGACGCTAAATCTTACAATTTGCTGGTAAAATGTAGCGGTGGGTAGTGTTGAATGATTGCCTTGTCTCTCGTCTATCACTTCAAAATAAGGGACAGTGAGCGCAGATAGATATTTTTAGTTTAAAAAATATAGTGGGAAAAAATATTTACAGCAAATACCTTTACTTAACACTTATTTTTATTTTGGACAGTTTTTAATACAGGAGCCTTTTGTTAGACTATTAAATCTCCTAAAATAATTTCAATGCGTTTTAGGTGTATGTAGTATCAGAAATCCAATTTGCGAAAATCTCTTTATGACAAAGAGCACTGAGCATAAAGTTTTATGAAGCGAAACAGGAAATGTATATAAAACAAATGATCGCTATGGGGTCTGTCGGTTTATTTCTCTGTGCACTACGTTTGATAATCGTGATTTATTAATAAATCTCGAAAACATCGTTTGCGCATTTGGTAATAACATACTTTTATTAATAATTATTAATAACTTAAAATGAAGGGCGAATACTTATTTTTTATTGCTGTTGCACCCAGTGGTGGGTCAGCGGTTAGTCAGAAGGCTTATAACGCTACAAACCGAGTTTCGATACACGCGGTTGGCACAGTACAAATTGCCAATTGTGTAGCTTTATGCTTAACAACAAACAAACACGCTTTCTCTTTTAATACAGATATATTTTATAACGAATATGGTTGTCTTTTGACCTAGTGCTTATTATTAATTTCTAATTCTCAGGAAATAATACATGGCTACGCAAGAACTCTGCACTAAGTGTTTTAGCGTTGTGTATGTTTCAAATAAATAAAACTAATCGCGATTTTTGTGAATGTAAACCATTTTGGTAATCCGAAAATGATTGTTTATTCTTTCTTTCCTCCATGTTAGTGATGAATGGCGAATGACTTTACATCTACTTTGCTGTATATTGAAAGCTGTGCATTAGGTATATACCAGATGAAGCCATGAATAGTAAAACACTTTAATAATTTTCGTGCAAAGCTAATAATGGATTTTTGTACATAACTGTTTCTGATTTGAAGTTATAGACTGGAAGAATGAAAAGTAATCAACTCTTCGACCACTCTCGTCTGATTGAAAAGTAAGATTTATACGACACTTTTATAGGCCTCAAATTACGGAACTCTTCTTCGAGACAAAGGTACGTGATCCATGGACCCTTGAATTCAATTTTCGAGCAATCTAACCACTAGGTAGCGCCCGTCCTCACTGTGAAATAGTTTATTGTTTTCTTTATAAGAAGTTATGTTACAAAATATTTGTTGGTACTAATGTTTTTTTCTTTTTATTTATCTTTACACGTACCACTACCTCCTTTACTTTACTTCAATATTTAGGCCTGGCATGGCCAAGTAGTTAAGGCGCTCGACTCACAATCTGAGGGTCTCGGGTTCGAATCCCCGTCCTACCAAACATGACAGCCATTTCAGGGGTGGGGGCGTTATAATGTGACGGTCAATCTATTAGTAAAAAGAGCAACCCAAAAGTTAGCGGTGGATGGTGATGATTAGCTACCTTACCTCTAGTCTTTCAGTGCTAAATTATGGACAGCTAGCGCAGATATCCTTCGTGTAGCTTTGCGCAAAATTCAAAACTTTAATATTTTTAATTCAGTATTATTGGACATGCTGCTATTTGAGTTTCCGTTTTTATCTATAATGGATATTTTGTGTGAAAAATAGTAGGAGTTCAGTAGTATTAAAAAACAAACTACTAAAACACCTAGTATATCCAAGAGAAGTATTGTAGACAGGTTTGTAAGATAGGATAGCAGGCTAGTCTTGAAGAAAGCTTCTAATGTTGATGCAACTATAAAAATAGTTTTAGCAATTACAGGTAGTTTGTTTGAAGTCCCAGTTAAATTATGTTTAGTAAGTTTTGCTTATATGTAAAATAAAATCGTAATTAAAACTAAAATTCTCTAAAATGAAACATTAATGAAAGCACTTTCATAGTACTAATTAACATCACACGTTAAATTTAGTGTATGATAAATGTTATAACACGGAATTAAAGACTAAAGTACTATAATTAAAAAGCTACATACATGTAACGACCGCAATATTATCTATAATATAAGCCAAATATTACTATCGAGTTTTTTAATGATTGGACTTCATTGAATAATCAGTTGATTATTATTGTTATATATATATATATATATATATTCGACCGCAATCCCTATATGTCATGTATATCTTCTGGTGGGTCAGCGGTAAATTCTTGGACTTATACCTAGGATTCTATACCCTAAAACCCAGAATTCTATACCCCAGAACGCAGATAGCCCATTCTGTAGTTTATAGTTACAATAACAATCGGCTTAAGATATCTTGTTTAGGCCAAGATCCACTCAGTAAGGCACAAAAACAAATTGTCTGTTTTACAGAAACTACAACTTACGACAATATCCAAGAATTTTAAGTATAGAAAACTTGTTCATAACATATTACTCAATACCATAGAACTTGAGGCAGGATACCAAGTTCGACACTTCTGACAGTATTTAGCATTAAAGAAACGTGAAAATGAATAATAATAGTAATTTTTTTTTCATACTACCAAATCTACACCTTAAATGCATCGTTGGAAATTTATTAGTATTAAAAAAACTGTGACATCTTGCATTTGTTGAAAACAAGGAGTCTGCTATCTCACCCTTCACCCGAATGTTAATGTAAGACAAACAAACAGGAAATGGATATTATTACTTTATTTATATAGACTGTGGTAATACATCATTTATAAAAAGTTCAAAACACCTGTACATAATACATTTTGAACGAGTTTATCGGTGTATGGAATCACTTTTAACGGTAGAAATTACACAACTGCACTGAACGATGTACACGATACGTTGGTTAATTCGTCAAACGTATGGACTTGGGGTTTCACAACTTCGTCTTTAGAAATTATTCATAAAAATATCTATGCTGGTTCCCAGAACGAAAGGTTTTAGGCCTTGCTCGTCTTGCCTGAAGGTTGGCTCTGTGAACATGCTTTTTTTGGTATATGTTACACGTTAAAACGTGGGTGCTCCTTGTACATTGATGCTTGGTAAATCTATTTCTTTATCTATGTTTAAACGATCATATTTTTTTTTATGGAATTACTAAATCATGCCTAATGTATAATTATATTTTTTAAAGGTCTTCTCATAAGAAAAGCGAAAGAAATAAGCACAATTTATCTTTGACCTTCACAGCTATTACGATTACATTTTCTTCATGCTCATGCCCTTTTCTATCTGAAGAACAATCTTGTAAAACAACACCTATATGTACATCAGGACATATGACATAGCGTGCTATAACACTGATGTCTGTATCCTTGGGTTGTAACACTAAATAGCCACACAATCCTCATAGTACCATTAAATAAACGTTTTTCTTTGCTTTGTACGTATTCTCAAGGCACTAGCTCATTTTGCTTGAACGCAGTTCATGTATGAAACAGTTGAACACAAAAGTGTCTCATACAGCAGTGGAAAGAATAAGGTGTTCCACTGAAGACTGTGGTGGCCTCTGAAAGATAATTAAAAACGTCAAATAATTTTTGTTTGAATGAATTTTAGGAAAGTATGATTTTATTTATCCAATTAAGTTGGTTCCACAGGCATATGAGTTAATTACTTTAAATTATGAACGCATTTGTATTTTAAAGTTATTTATTATTGTGCCATTAATATAAAATAACTAATATAATAAGTCTGAAATCATTCAAATCCTTTGACACTTTTAAATTGTGAGTACTGAAATACAGTTCAAGCAGGTTTCAAGCTGCCGCAATTGGGTACTTTTAAACAATAAAATTACAACAAAGAAACCAGCTATTTGCGTACGATAAACGAAAAGTGGAATAAAGTCGTAATATGAGAATAATTATACTTTATTTTCTTTCGATGTGGTGAATATTTCTCAGATAGTGTTTGAGTTACACCAATTTGAAATTAAACGCAGATGGACAAACATAACCTAATACATCTCCTTTGGTTTCTATTAATGAAGATACAGAATTGATGTACATTTTGAAAACATTTATAAAGCTGCTCGTGGAATAAGGACGAGAAACCAAGTTTGTAAAGACAAAGAATAATGTTTTACAACCAAAGCATTATCAAACTTAGTTATGGATATTAATTTAAAACCCAATTAATTAAACAAATTGGCGTTGGTTAGCATGGAAACCACATTTAATTATTTGGGTAAATGATGACAGAATGACAGTGTTTTCGAAGGAAAACCGTTGATGATTGTAATTTATTAAAGCAGTCTACCATCTATTAACACAGACAATTACTTTACACGAGGTTATTTGAGTAACACTCTGATCTTTATTATCTAAGTAATCAGCAGAAGACAACCTGAAGAGAGAGAGAGATACATATAAGCTAATACATTATTTTTATTTTGTTGCAATTCGGCATTACTGTACCGCAACGTTTCTGCCTAATATCCCTGAAAACCAGTGAAAACTAACCTTCCTTTTTCTTATAAATTTATGAAATTGCGTAAGTAGCAAGCTTCTTTACTTGCAGTGTATTTTATTTACTGTCTGGCAAGATATGATACTTAAAATTCATTTTATCTACGTTTTAGCCTGGATGGAATTAGTTCAATTGGTTTAAGTTGTAAAGTAATCTATAACTGTAAAATACACTGTATTGTACAAATATGTTAACGGTAAATATATGTTTTCATAGTAGTAGCTAAGTGTTTTAGATGTACTTTAAACGTTCTTATGTTGATTTCTTGGTTTGATGTAACAATTATGGGTTTTCAGTGAGTATTTTTACAAGATATAGATATCTATGTAGTTAAATTTTGAAATAAGGTGAAGTAAGTTTTTGCTGAATTAATTTAAAATTATGATTAAAAACTTCATTAGAACTAGCTTTTGATCATGATTAATTCATAAACATTGTCGTACGACCTAACGACAGGATATCACGTTTGATATACCAATAGAAGTATTAAGGAAGAGTAATCTTTATAAAATGAATACTATATATATAAATATTCAAGATTATTCAATACTTAAGCTGTTTTTTTTTCTAATAACTGCGCTATTATTAGGTTACTTTCTTTGTTATTTCAAAAGAAACGGATTTGTTTGTTAAGAAAATATGTAGTTTTAACTATAGACAAAATATGGTTCACGTAAAATTCCCGTTTTACTATCATATCTAAGCGTTAATATCACAAAGTTATGTATATAAAGCACGAACCATTTGATACGGCGACGGCAACTTACTTGATTTGTGTTTTGAAGGTCACTTGTCAGAGGAGTTTTTACTGTAGTTCCATTTCCATCATCTTCAATCTTTGGTAGAGATGACATCTCGACTTCCTTTAGATCACACTTTTCTTTTTCATCTAGGAAGTCAGAGTTTTCATTAACTGCAAAAATTGATGCCACACCCTCAGCACTTATCCCCTCTCTTCTCAGTATTTCGTCTTCCCTCCACTGGAATGAATGATGTAAGATAATTAGTATAATCAGCTAAACTCTATGATGACTTTCTTACCGTTTACCCTTATGAGGTACCCAGAGGATAAAATGGCTATAAGATGGGAACGACGAATAAAATAGGTTCTTTCTATTGATTTCACATAATTACATTTATCAAACCATATTGATTAATAGTAGGCCTGTATTCAGTCCTATTCTTTTTAAAAAGTATTATTACCTCCAGCCGATGGTAGATACATTATTATCACTCCAATATAACTCAAAGAGTTTTCATCTGATATTGATCAAATGTGGTACAAATGTCAAATGGTTGCCATGAACCAAGCATTTACCGTTTACTGAATGTAGCTTAAAGTTAAGAGTTGACCATTTTCGTTATAACTTTAGCAAATTGGGTTTCGAAAAATGGTTAAAATTCGAGAATAAATTAGGTAGAAAGAGGATCTTGCCACCTAGAATGTTTTTTAATGTTAGGAGGTATTTGGTGAATATTTTAGGTTAGTTGCTGCAAAAGTAGAAAACAAAATCAAAAATTGAGTCCATTTCTAGTTAAGTGCTAGAAGGAAAAGTGGAAGAAATAAAAGAGCAAAAGGACGACAAAGAACGAAATGGGAGGATAATAGTGGACGGACCTTAAGATCTCGGAGTGCACAAGAAGGGTTCAAGATGGACAGTGTTAGTGGTCCATTGCAGTCAACCTCTGTAATTGAGGTGGAATAAAATGAATGCATGAAATAACGTTTGACCGTTTGTAGCGCAACCTTGTTATTTACAAAAATTAGTTGTCACCACGTGATTAATCTTCTTTATCATTTGCAATTGACATTAACTCCTTGTTTATTCAGTTACTGAAGTGTAATTGCAGTTGATTAATACGTAATAATACTCATTCAGTTTTTCAATATAGTGTTTATAAATACATAAATTATTTAAATTAATTACTCGAATAGTTTTTGATGGAGTGAACAGCGGTTTTCTATCCATCCTTAGGATAACCTCCTCTGAAAAATTCCCGGGATGGAATTCCACTACTAATGAGCGTGTCCAGCTTGAACTTATGTGTGTAACATCGGGAGGTCCTGAATATGGTAAAAATACATAATATCAACTCAGATCACTATCATAATTTTCAGAAAAAGTGTGAAATATTGCCCTAATACTACAGTTTATCAATATGAAATATATACTTTTTAACAAAACAAGTAGTTTGATAAACATCAACGGCTGCCATCAGATAATGTTATTGCATTTACCATGACATTTACCACTGTGTTACATAAGAATAAGTGAGAGTTAAATTCGAAAGAAAAACGTAGGGGGTGCATTTATTTCATGTACACGACTAGATGATATCACGTTTTGATATACCAATAGAAGTATTAAGGAAGAGTAATCCTTTTATAAAATGAATT